ATTTTTTTTATTTTAGCTTTCTTCTTTTCTTATTCAGTTTTTCTTCTTCAAATATCTACATCTTTTGTTAATAACATTAGATTAACTAAAAACCATAACCTTGAAATAATGTAGTAGTAAAAAAGAATAATCAGAAAAAGAAATCTTGTTAAAAATCATGAATGAATTTTATCATAACAATAAACTCAATTAAAAAAGATAACTCTAAAATATACAATATATTAAAAAGTTAACAAAAAAATTAAAATTGTACACTAAAGAGTAAAACAATATTTTCCCTATTTGTTATTTCTTCTTGACTTATCTAAATTGAGTAATTTCTTTTTCTTCTTCTTCAATATCTAATAAAAGAAATTTCTAATAGTAAATTCAATTGAAAACTCATATCATTAAACTAGAAGCAAAAAAAAAAAGAAAGTTAATACCAGTAAACCTAATTGCAAATTATGATAAAATTTACTCAATAATAATAAACCCTACTGAAAGTTTGAATATTAAAACAGTACTCTTTAGCCGCCGCTACCTTTTGGGTGTGCACAGGATAAAATCCGCGCTCTTATGCAATAACTCGCAAACTACACAGGAGAGGTAACCTGCACTAGGCAGCCCAATGCGACGAACTCGACCCAGAAGGCAAACCCCTTGCTTTCGTTGGCAAGGGATTTCGAACTTGAGAACTCCAAGATTAAAGTCCCAAGCCCAAACCACTAGCCACTTTGAAATAAATGTTGTGCACGTTTGTGGATTATGTCTTTCTAACTAAGTATACCAGAAATAGAGAAAAAAACAAATAAGTAATAAAAAAGAAAATGGAAATCCAAAAAAAAGAATAAAAAAGAATGGAAATCCCACAAGAATGCTCTTTTTGGCCTATTTTCTAGCTCTCACACATTACAAAGAGAATGAGGCCACTTCAAGTATTACACTGAATAGTTTAGGGGGATTTTGAGGTATTCACTCGAAAAAAGAAATACTAGAGTGTCATGGTAGGAATTTGAACTTGTACTTATATAAGGGGATTCGACGGCTCATATAACAATCAAATTTTATAGTTATCCTTTTTCGGATACTATAATTTTTAGACGAGGAGAATTCAATTAAATCCCCTTCCCTCTTTACTTACACAACCCCAATCTACTACTCTCATGTTATGAATCAGCCTCATCCCAACGTCACTACCTACTCGGATGTCACACAACTAATTATTGGGCCGAGAAGAAGCAACATAACTGGAAGGCTATCACAAAGGTTGATTTGGGACCCAGCCTCGGCCCAATAATTAGTTGTGCGACATCCGAGTAAGTAGTGACATTGGGCCGAAGCTGATTCATAACATCTCACCAGCACAGGTATTGGGCGAAACACAAAACAACAACAACACAATAATTCCACAAGTGGAGTCGGAAGAAGGTAGGATATAACCAGACCTTACATCTACCAATGTAGGATTGAGAGATTGTTTCCAATGGATCCTCGTCTCAAAATAAACGTATCCGACACAGAAAATATTGGGTAAAACACATGATCTTATAATCACACCTATTAGGAAATGTACAAAGTTTCTGTCTAGCAACAAATCAAGAAGCTAACATCCCTACACTTTCTCACACAGATTAATCCAAAATACTTCTAAATCCTAAAAAGATCCAATTTTTAACACTCATACACAATAATCCAATAAGATAAATTGAACTAGAGCATTTCATCTCACACCCATCAGCAATCACAGGCAGATCTAGCAAAAAAAAAAAACATAAAAGCAAATGCAACCCATTACAAAAAAGTTCAAATCTTGAATTCGCCTCTACGAAAACAAATTAAAAACAGATCAGAGAGATAAAAACCTGAGGGACATGAATAGGCTGATTCAGCTCTCCAGGCTTAATGTCTTCTTCAAGAGGTGCTTGATCTTTTGTTAATTTTACATACTTTGACTGAATTCCCCCTTCTTCCATTTGAATCTGCTAACAAACAATTAATCAACAAATCAAAATCATTAACAACAACAATAAACAGTAAATCAAGTAAAATTTGTTTAGAAAATTTGAGGATTGTTCATCGTACGTTGTTGTAATCGACCGGAAATTTATGAACTGAGAGTGCCGCCGGTCAAATGAGGTACTCAATGTAGTAACTGCTAATTTCTTATATAGAAAAATGTTGGGTGTTTTTATTACAACGAGGAAATCGTAGATTGCCTCCGAGAACTGAGGGCTTTTGTTTCGTTTTCAAGTATTAAGGGGGAGAGGGGGGGGGGGGGGTTTAAGCTATACTTCGTACGGCATCCATGATCCATCACGAGTTGTTTCGTACGCGGGATAAGGTGATATATTTTAAAATTAAATTTGAAAATATATTTATATTGTGTTTAACTAACGGTATAAATAGCGTTACATTAATTTTGAATTAATTTAATCCATGTATCAAGCGCGCCTCTTAAGTTTTATGTACCGTACTGTATTATATATTTCCCTTGTTTTAATTAGTTTGTCTTTATTTATGTACGACATTCATGATCTATCCCGAGTTGTTTGGTATGCGGGATAAGGTGATATATTTCAAAATTAAGTTTGAAATTATTTTTATACTGTGATTAACTAACGGTATAAATGACGTTATATCGTTGATTAAATGTAGTATGAATATGATTTTAAACTTAATCATGAGATATTTCACTTTTATCTCATTTAATTTGAGATTATTTATTTCACTTTCTGAATGAGATAAATTAATTTAGACATTATGATCTCGGGAAGATAATTTTGAAATAATTTAATCTCGCCTCTTAAGTTTTATGTACTGTACTATATTATATACTCCTTTCTCGTTTTGATTAGTTTGTCTTTATTTGATCGAATTCGATATTTAAAAAAATAAAGAGATTTTTTATCTTGTTACGTATGATGTAGTAAAATAGATTTTAATCTTGTGATCATAAACATATCATATAAGATGCTAAAAAATAAGAGTTATCAAATCAAGAAAAGGACATTTTTTAAGAAATAGATTAAAAAAGAAAGTATGACAAACAAATTGAAATAATTAAATAAATATATTATATTAATACCATTAAAGGGTATCTTATCATAATTCATAAGTAGTTGTAATTAAGTTCATTCCATTTTATGTAACAAACTTTCTTTGTTAATCAATTCCAAAAATTACACATTTCTATTTTCGAAGAAGGGTTATATTTAGTTATTTACCTTGAAAATAAGCTATATTTGCCATTTGTTATACTTTCTCAATAAATATATCTTTATCGTCATACTTCAAAGCTATACTTAACTCTTACCCGTTACAACTAGTTGTACTTATCCTCAACCATTAAAACTTTATTTTCAGCTTTAAAAAGTCATGTGCCATGTCCTTATTGAACCAAAAAAATTATGGCTTATTTGGATTGACTTTTGGCTTATGACTTATAAGCCAAAAGTCATAAGTTAAGATTTCTAACTTATGGCTTTTGGCTTATTTTTGTTATTTTTGGCTTTAAAATAAGCACTTTTTAACTTTACTCAAACACTTCAAAACTGCTTAAAAACTATTTTGGCTTAAAAACACCTAAAATAAGTCAATCAAAATGGGCTCTTAGGGCCCGTTTGGATTGACTTAAAAAAAGTAACTTTTAAAAAGTAACTTTTTAAAGTGCTGGAACTTATTTTAAAAATAAGTAGTTATGTGTTTGGATAAAAGTGTTGCAGTTGAAAAAAAAGTTGTTGATGTGTTTGGCAAATAAGTGATGGTAAACACTTTTTTTAATCAAAATGTCTGAAATACCCTTTAAGCTGTTAACATGATAAAAAGTTGATTAATTTAAGGTTTTTATACTTAAAAATAAATTTATATTTTTCATCCATAAGTAATAATATCTTCCTATCATTCACATATTTCTTTACCACCACAAATTATTTATAAGAGGAATAATAATAATAATAATAATAATAATAAATAA